TATAGGGTTTAGGGTATGGGTTTAGGGTTGGGGTTCAGGCTCATAGGGTTTATGCAGTCATTGGGCAATCCAGACGCGAATCACTTAGTGCATGAACTAGGGGCTTCTCAGTGCTTAGGGTTTAAAGGGTTGAAGAGGCGTTCGGGGGTTCCTATTCAGGGTTGGGGTGTCAGAAAGCTTGCCTAGCAACACTGCTCCCTTATGGATCGACGTAGGACCCGTACATCTCTACTCGAATGTATCCCCAAGCCCGGTTCTGATTGTTAGAGGCTTCCAGATTCGAGGACGGTGTAGGAAACCCTAAACCCCTAAACCCCTAAACCCCTAAACCCTAAACCTTAAACCCTTAACATCTCTAAGCCCTATAAACCCTAGACCCTAAATCGGGGTTGAGGCTTTTTGCGGAGAATCGTCTCAGTGGAGTTCATGGCCGAGAAGTGAAGCATGAGTAGCTCCTCTGGGTTCTTAGCAAGGAACTTAATATAGGGGCCTCAATAATTACCTATACTATCTTGGGGGAGCCTTATTACAGTTTTTGTTTTATATACCCCAAAACCCTATTCTAGTTATGAAGGCCCCTATATCAATCTAAGTTACCCAGAGTAGAGCACAAATAGTCGGAGTAGCAAGAACCCAGTCCTTTACTAGTACTAGTATAGTACTAGTACTGGTACTAGTAGGAGCAGCAGCAGCAGCAGTAGTGGGGTGATAGCCAACGATCTACATCTTTATGCACTATCGGACTATCGCAAATTGCCCGCTCCTTTGCGGGATTAGGCTTGACTTGTGGGTAACCCGAACTAAGCCCTGAACCCAAATGGGTTTAGGGTTTAGGGTTCTTAAGCCCTGAACCTTAAGTTACTTTCAGCTTTTGAGGTGCTGCTTGGTCACGTCGCTGATCATGGAGTGGCCGACCCTGATCGCAGATCAGCAGGCCGAGAATGCCACTCTTTGTGCGGGTTTGATCAGGGAGTTCTGCGGGGTTTATGAGGTTTTGTAGGGTTCCATTGCGCAGTGGTCCAACTCAAGGTCCAGTTTAGAGTCTTTCTTCTGTGACGTACGTGAAGCCGTCCTCGTTCCCCCATCCTACGCCCCAGCCGCAAACCAAAACCAGAACTCTGAATCATTCCCCACCCTCAAAGTCAGCACCCTTGATACCTTGAGTCGAAGAACTGCACTTGAAATGCATGGAGGAGATTCAATTGCCTATCATGGGTAAGTTTTGATGATGCTTTTCGTTCACTTTCCGTTGCAGGCGTTCTTTTTCGCTAGCCCCCTAAATTCTCTCCCGCATGCATGCCTAATATCGGGGCCGAAAGAATTACCTATAGTATTTTGGGGGCTCCTTATTGTGACTATAGTGGAATATGCCCCAAAACCCTACTCTAATTATTAAGGGCCGTAAACCCCAAACCCTTATAGCAGTCCCTATCGATCCCTTTCAAGGGACCCTTCTTAAGAAGCCCCAAAGCCCCAATTCCAATTCTGCAAATTCTTAAGGCCCCTACATCATGAACTCGCAACCCTAACCCTTAAACCCTAAAACCTAAACCCTAAAATAAGAAAAAGGCCCCTACATTACGAACTCGGCATCTTTCCTCCCGAAACCCCCCCAGCTGCTGGGTTCGAGGTATGGCTGCTCTTCGACCAGGCCGGCGGGTTTCGTGGGTTTGGGGGGTAAGTGAGGTTCGGGGTTTAGGGTGTAGCGTTTAGGGTGGAGGGTTCAGGGTTTAGGGTGTAGGGTTTAGGGTTTAGGGTGTAGGGTGTAGGGTTTAGGGTTTAGGGTAATCAGTGTAGTGACAGGAAATGACGGCGGCAGCTACTGGCGCTGTTGTTGCGGTACGACGAAAGTTTGACCCACTCGCGGCTTCACCGCGCCCTTTGCCCCTGAGAATCCTAGACAGCAGAACGATGCTCGATAAAGCAGTTCATAGGGGCCTTCATAATTACCTATACTATTTTGGGGGGTTCCTTATTATATTTATGGTATAATATACCCCAAAACCCAATTCTAACTGTTGAGGCCCCATACTACGCTTGAAGTGGCGCAGATATGCTCCCGTGGCCAGGCCCGGTAATTTCAGGTCCTGGGCACTCTGCAAGAGGTCTCTAAATCCCCAAACCCTAAACACAGAGACTCCAATATCCCTTAATGAAGGAATAGACCTTAAATCATATTAGGGATCCTACTATAATTCAAGGTATATTCCTTAATTAAGGGATATTGGAGTCTCTTAGAACGTTCCAGTGGTTCCAAATTGGGGCCTAGGCCATGGACCTGAAGCCCTGCAACCTAAACCCTAAACCCTAAAGACCAAGCCCTGAACTGGGAACCCTTATGTAGGGGCCTAATCAATTACCGACAATAATATTTTTTGGGGGGCTCCTTATCATAAAGATGGTATGAGGGCCCCAAAACCCTATTCTAATTATTAGGGCCCAGATACTGAAGCACCTGACCAGTTGCCTTTGCTGATGATGAGTGGCGCGGTGGGAGTAGCCTGGTGCTCGGCATTCCGGCCCCTGCTTGAGCTGCAAAGCGGGGCTGTTTTGTTGATGCTGGGCAAATTCTTAGACGAAGGCGAAGAGCAAGCTTGTTGATAATGCCAGTACATTGAATCTACATGAATCTTCCTATTAGTCTGTCCTAGGCACTTACATCGTCCATGGGTTCATGTGCATAAACAAATCAGTCAATAGATAGACCAGCGGGCAGGCTTTATCAGCTTCCCTGTTGTGAGCAGAACAGAACAGCCTTAGTCATTGGTAAGTGTATTCCTTTCAAACCGGATAGAGGCATATCAGTGTGACTACACGCCATGTGTAGATCCTTTAACGGGTTGTTAGAGTAACCCCTGTGTAAGGACGCTTAGAAAAACCTTAAGCCCTAAACCACCACGCCCTCCCCTATGTCACCTTGAAAAGAGTCCGAACCGCTTGAGGTAGTCAACTTGTCTTCCTTGCTGGTGATCAAATTTACCTCGAGTGCCTCGATCTGCAAGTGTAGAGAAAACTTGAGGCACTTTGTTTTGGGCGGGACCATAAGGGTTCGTGCAAGGGGTGCCATAAGGACTACTATAAGTATCTGAGGTTGTTGATTTGGGTTTTTGTTCTGAGCTAAGTTGTGTTTTCAGGGTGAGGGTGTGAGGTTTGAGGTTTGAGGGGCTCAGAGTTTGAGGGCAATGTGGGTTCCTTGGCTTACTTGGGGCCCCAGGATGGAGGGCATTTGCATTTTGTCTGAAAGTGTTGCGAAAATTAGTATAATTGGTTTTCGTCGCCGCCGTCGTCGTAGCAGTAGTAGGAGTAGCAGTAGGAGTAGGAGTAGGGGTACTGTAGGGGTAGGAGTAGGAGTAGGAGTAGGAGTAGGAGCAGGAGTAGGAGTAGGAGTAGTAGTGATAGTGGTAGTAGTAGTAGTAGTAGTCGTCGTCGTCGTCGTAGTAGTAGTAGTAGTAGCAGTAGTAGTAGCAGCAGTAGCAACACACGACGACGACGACGACAAGGACGATTTCGACTACTACTACTACTACTACTACTACTGCTACTACTAGTACCAGTACTACTAGTATTAGCAGCATTAGCAGTAGTAGTACTACCACTACCATCACTACCTCTGCAAAGCTGAGGCCTCATGGCGAAGTTGCTGGTGATCGTGCGGAGCAGCGCGCTGGTGGGATTGCAAAGGGTTGCCCTTTCTCACATGAGAGCCAGCGAAAAGAGAATGAAGAGAGGGATAGTGTACATATACACATACATACACATGTGCACACAGACGCACATAGATACATATGCTAGTCCCCCCCCCCTGGACCAACCTTTCACATGAAATCTCATAGACTTTCAAAAGTCCAGAATTCACGATACTGTTTTTGAATTCAAGAAATCTTAGACCTGCCTAAAATTTCCAAAAATTCCAAAAATTCCAAAAATTCCAAAAATTCCAAAAAATCCAAAAAATCCAAAAAATTCAAAAAAATTCAAAAAAAATCCAAAAATTCCAAAAATTCCAAAAATTCCAAAAAATTCCAAAAATTCCAAAAATTCCAAAAATTCCATTTTTTTGGAATTTTTGGAATTTTTGGAATTTTTGGAATTTTT